TATGCAGGTCAAGCAAAACCCTATATCAAAGACAGTCCTCGGTGTCGTGTGAACATTGGGCAGTACAGTTACCAGATGCGGTTGCATGACCGAGTTCAATAAGATCAGATAACTGCAGGCTATCAGGATAGAATCGCAAGGATATGTGGAAGCTGGTGAAATGTTGGCTCGTGACAACCACAACTGCTTCCTCATCCGGTCCATCCCTTTGTTAGAAAAGGATCTTGATCACCTTCAACCAATAAACAAAAGCAAGCACCCTCAGCATTCAGATAAGGTAGGTGGCACAGGCTGATTCCTTGTTGTGTAGTATGTACCATAGAAATAAACCAGAGATGCAAATGGTGAACTGTGAGCTTAGAAATAATGTGTCACTTGTCTTTTTTTCTGTTTTTTTGGAAATCAAATTATTTACAATCTTTCTTATCTGTGCCACTTATATATAATTGAAAATGGAGGGAACCAGATTTGTGAACGTATGAAGAAAAACTATTTTCCTTGTACCGAACGACACTCCAAGTACAACTCTTAGCTACCGTAGAATACCATGCATCCGCCCATTCCACATCAAGCGCCGATATTCAAATTTTTAAGATCTAAGAAAATATGCATAGTACATTTATATGTAAATTTGATGACCAGGCAAGCGCCCATTCCCCATTTTTTTGCGATTATCTCTAAATTTTGAGTGGGCGCTTGCCTGGCATTTTACAGTAATACAATAGCCTACAATTGAAATAAAGTGGTGTTGTATCCTGCATGCCAAAAGATGCACAAAGGCTTGCCCAGTGTGATGCAGATGGACGCTGCGGGAAGCTCTTTGAGTTGAACATTGGAGATGTGTGTTACATCCTAAAAGTAAACAATGAAGCCCCCCCCCCCCCCCCCCCAATTCAACTTCAAACCATATAATTATCTGAGCATGTTTCAAAGGGAAGAAAGCACAAGTGGCTAATTTTTCCATGCGTTAACAGACAAAATGTAATCATCAGTGGTGAAACTTACAAAAGAACTGCTTGTAGCAGCTTCTACAGCAAAAACATGGCTTTTGAAGCACATATTTCATTTAATTTATTTCACACTGCAAACTTAAGGACATGACGTCCCGAAACCAAGACCACACGCAACGAAAACAGCACAACCAAGCACCGGGGCAGGATACCACTAGCAGACAATAGTTGCTTGAACGACGGCAAGTTAAAGTATTCAAATAACGAACCTGCAGCAAAAAGACGTCCGAGCGTTCCTTCATGGCTGTGGTAGCGTGCCTTGAATGACTGGCGTGGGATAGCGGCTTCTGTAGAGGCATCGTAGCTGAAGACCACTGCTGGCAGGCTCCTAATGCTCCCAACTTGAAATCCACCAAGATGGGTCCCAGGAACCACTGTTTTCCCGTGGTTGGCTCGAGAACAATCAATTTCGTGGCGTCCTGTGGTTCGTCCAGCATATGGGCCCCGTCATTGCTGGCAATGCTCAGAAGTATAATCTGCAGCAAAAAGATGCGTGAGCGCTTCATCACAGCTGTGGTAGCGTGTCCCCCACGTTAGAGCTTTTGGAGCAGGCGATTCCGGTTTATCACATTGTAAAAAGCGATGCAAGTACTATAGAAATTCCCGCAGTTCCTCACAGTGTCATAAAAACTATTATAACTGCAATTATGATACACAATTATTCACAGCAGAAAGATTGCTGTTGGAAAAGGGAATAGAAAGCAAAAACACAGAACTTTGGCAATGACCTCATTGCCTTTAAAGCTTGATGCAATAACTAAATCAGTCCCATCTTCGACAACTGCAAAGCAACAAAACTATTTAAACATAGCGAATAAACCACACATCACAACAAGCATTTTTCCCTAAAATGAAAATAATGGGAGGAAGATTCATACGAGTGTTTCTCAAGTAATCGGTGCCACCGAAACAATGATTGACACCGCTCTTCCTCCCACGCAAGGCATCAGTAATCGTTCCAGCCAAGGAGAAGCTACTACAAAAGGGAAACTAAGGGTTGGACACTCTTCTCGGAAAGTGGCCACTTTTTGCTTGAGCACATATTTTAATAGTCGCTTTTATGTAGGCAAATATAAGCGAGTAACTTGGGGTTCCCCAATTTCATAAAAGAAAAAAATTGTTTTCGTCTATGGAAGCTCACCGTGGAACGGAAGTGGTTTGTGTACCTCAGTCCTATTTATTATCGAATGGTAATACATCATATCTGCTGAAAGTATTTAATGAATCATAGCGGCCGAAGGAGGTGGCATGTCGTCATTTGTTTCCAGCCAGCATCTAATTTAGAGCCTCAAGTAAAAGTGTGTTCAACTGCTGGATCAAGGCATGTGTTCATGGGCGCCATTAAATTGCAAAATTTTGCTGTTGGTTACGGGAATACGGGTAGTTTTTCAACGTAAATCCGGTTAAAAACAGATGCCTGAAGATTTTACGCGAAGAATAAAATAACACTTTTCTATAGACACCATTTTTGTTCCAATAGTTTAAGCATTTTTTACACGCAGAAAACTGTATAATCCGCCATCTTTAACGCTGCCATTAAATTGCAAACACACTCCACGGTTTAAGTTGAATGCACTCTTACTTGAGGCTCTCTAGCATCTTATGACGTCAGTGGTGCCATCCCGTGGTACCACCGGCATCATGCACGCACGACCGTCGTTCGCGCGGTAGGCCTACCTCACTGATCTCTAATATAGGGGCCTGGAAGACGCTTAGCCTAGCCCGGAGTCAGGCACGAGTGAAGCCATCGAAAGTTTGATGCTTGTCCCAGAAGTCGAGTGTTTGCTGGGTTTTATAATGGATTTAGTTAATGTTTTGGTTCATGCTTTCTTGCATTTTTACGTGGGTTTTAATAATCCCTTTTAGGAATCAATCTTGAGAATGAGGCACTGGAACTTGGGGAGTGTACACTTAATCAACTAGAATCTCGAAATTCTCAGACATGAAATGGCTTCCAAGAAGACATCTCTGGCCTGCATGAACTGTTATTGTGCGACAAGCAGGCTCTATCGTTATAACAAAAGCAAATCAAGCGCCTTGCCCAAGTAGCACAGAATTTTCTAAAATCATCGGCCATGCCTCGGCCATTGCTAGGCCAACAATCAATTTGGTCGGCCACCGGCAAATCCTCGGTGGACAACCAAAAACCATGGTCGGCAAAAGCCAGGCCACCGATGCCTCGAATTCAGCTCGGCCATTGGCAAAGGGCAGTGCTCGGCAAACTCCCGGCCATCCAAGGTATTTCTTTACATGTTGGCCACCAAGGAAGGGCCTAGCCCGGCATTTGCCCAGTTGCCAAGGCCTTGTTTTCACCTCGGCCACAGGGCGAAAAACAAGGACCGGCATTTGCTAGGGCACCGAGGCCTTGATTTCACCTCGGCCATTAAGCAAAGACCGAGGGCCGGCATTTGCCAGGCCACCGAGGTCTCGTTTTCACCTCGGCCATTGGGCAAAAAACAAGGACCGGCATTTGCTAGGCCACCGAGGCCTTGATTTCACCTCGGCCATTAAGCAAAGACCGAGGGCCGGCATTTGCTAGGCCACCGAGGCCTTGTTTTCACCTCGGCCATTGAGCAAAGAACGAGGGCCGGCATCTGCTAGGCCACAAAGGTATATCCGAGCGTCGTTTTCAGCCTGGCCATGGAGCAAATACCGACGCGGCATTAGCCTGGCCACAGATGTATAACCGAGGTCTCGTTTTCACCTCGGCCATTGGGCAAAAAACAAGGGCCGGCATGTGCTAGGCCACCGAGGCCTTGATTTCACCTCGGCCATTAAGCAAAGACCGAGGGCCGGCATTTGCTAGGCCACCGAGGCCTTGATTTCTTCTCGGCTATTGAGCAAAGAACGAGGGCCGGCATCTGCTAGGCCACAAAGGTATATCCGAGGGTCGTTTTCAGCCTGGCCATGGAGAAATTACCGACGCGGCATTAGCCTGGCTTTGTTTTCACCTCGGCCATTGAGCAAAAAACAATGTGACATTTGCCTGGCCAGAAAAGGCATAGCCGAAGGTCATTTTCACCTCGGCCATGGGGCAAATAATGCTAGCTGTGGCATTTTCATTGCCACTAAAGGTATAGCAGACGGCAGTTTTCTCCCCAATCTAAAGGCAAAATAACATGCGAGAACAGATGTTTGTGTTTGTAGGTTCATCATGTTGCAGGCAACAATACTCAAGCTCTAGGCATCACTGTAATGCACTCAAGGCACTGGGGTGGATCAGCTAGGAGGCATCCAGATAGAGTTCTTAGTGATCTGAACATCATATGACGCACCCATTCTTATTGAACCTTCATGTTACAGCACCTGCTGCTTCGCTGTGCAAAAAGAAAAAAGATTGACAAAAACCTACCTAGTTGCAATTGCTCATGATAATCAAAGTCTAGGCTAAATTGCAGTTGCACTAGCTTTCCAACAACCACCTCCGAAGTCTGGCACAAATGATGTGCAATGTTTCTTGTCTCCCCGTACAAAAAAAATTGGTGTCATTTACAGTGTATGTTATCTACTATTCAAACAAACAACAAAGAAACAGTTTACCGATTTCACAAGAATATAGTCTCCGAAGGATATATATATTGCCTAGTCCAAAAATTTCAAAGGTGTTGGTGGCCAGGCTGTTGGTTAACTGATCATAAATTCAATGGACACTGGAAGAAAGGGTCATCAGTTCGATTCACTGTCAGATTAAAAGTGCATGTCCCCAGGTTAGTCAATTTATACCAGCAAAAAAAGACACCAATGTGTTGAAATTCGAAATATGTTTGTCCTGTCCGCCTTCTTTGTATAACTCTTTCGTATTTTTGAATCAGGGCTGTTCAAGAAGTATCCAACCTTTGGAAGGAAAAAATACATTTATTTGCCTTGAGGTCTAAAACTCTAATCCCCTTCAAACTACTCCCCTTGGGATAGCACACACTTCAATGTTTGAAAGGCTTAGCTGTTTATTCAGCCAGCTGTTCCGGTGCCCTAGGCCTCTTGTGCCGTAGTTCACATGGTTTCTGAATGAGCCGAAGTCTTATCTTTGATGACTTGGCTGCCTCCAGTTCCACATGGCCCAAGCCTCAGCACATTGCCTGCAAAATGATATGAGAGCAATTCACTTATAGGATCAAGACAAACAAAATTTAATTTAGACTAATTGCTTCTTTTCATGTCACCATTTTGGAACAATGTTTCTACCAAACTAGACAAGCAGAAAATCGAAGAGTTGCCACTCATATGGCTGCATGAAAAAGTATAATCTGCTTGTAACACTGGAATGTGCTTGCCAGAGACGAGTTACAGCATAATGATGTGCTGTATTACCAATTTCATGTGATCGTTTAAAATCCTCTAAAACTGTAAAACTACGGCACCTGAAAAAAAGTATATGAAGTATACAACCCCTACTATTTGCATTGAGAGCTGCCACTAAATACTGTTTTGTCTGAACTAAAAAAAGTACAGTGGACTCGCAATAATTCAAACTCTGATATTTCGTACTGCCATTAATTCAAACAAATTTAAAAATTTAGTTTTTTCCCTAAATTTTAATGCATCTATAAGCTGTTTAATTCAAACAATGTTTTCGCTCCATTCACACTATTTGTTCATTGCGGAGGGTTAGCCCCGTTGAGTGCGCTTCTCATCGAGCACCTGTGTACTCCGGAAAAGCAATACACGCGAAGCTCGTGGTCATTGCTTTGCCGCAGTATACGGGTGCTAGGTGAGAAGCATGCTCGATGGGACTAACCCATCCCGATTATGCAAGGAGCACTGTTCTGACAATCTGCTTTCATTATTTGTGCTTTGATTTTTCTAAGGGGGATTAAATTCCAGATGAAAGAAAGAATATTTGCATATAGCAAGCAGATTTATAAATTCCTTCGATTAGGATAGCTGGCCGTTTGTTTAGGTTTAATTTTATGTGAAATCTGTCATTTACATGCCACCCCAATGTAGGCATTGGACTTACAGAGGCCACAGTTCATATATGTAGTTATATTAAAACTAACTGAGCTTAGAAGTGGACAAGGGGAAGGTTGGGAACAACCTTCACAAGTTAAGCTGAATTTTTGTTTAAGCACGGCACAACAGTAGTAAAAGGCTTTGAGAAACTATTCTATATTCAATTAGAAAATATTCGGCCAATATTAATATTTGCTTTAAGCCTCACCATTGTTTTATGTGTGCCCTTTTTTAAATAGGCCTGTGCAGAGGATAGTATAAAAAACTGCTTGGTGTATGTAGTTATTGCTATAGCGATTTCATACTTTGCCTCATATCACTTTTCCATAAATTTCCGATAATTCAAACTTCTCATATTTCAAATTAAAGTCTGTGGCTTTCAGGAGTTTGAGTTACTGAGAGTCGAGTGTATTAGAAAATATTTCCGGTCCTCCAAAAACCAAGAACCTGAACATTGACTTCAAGCAACAGCTTTTCTAGCTGCCAAATAAGTAACATGCCACACCAGAAGTGTAAAGCTTCCTTCAGTGACATGAATAGCAACCTTACACAAAAGATGAGCACCAAGTAACTTATGCACAGGAGGCGGCTGTCGCCATGTAGGAAAGTAACACAACTTGCAAACGTGCCTAACACAGAGGGGCATGCCCACCCCAAACTCCTGGATAGCCTAGGTTTGCTGAAAAGCCTCGTCCATCTATCTTGGAGTCCCCAAGTAGCAGCAATCAAGAAGTCAACTTCCCCTCGAGGCAGACTGCCCTCAAGCCCCTCCCAGTGGCCTTCGTTATACCAGAAGCCCAAGATGGATTACGTTAGTGAAGAGTCCTCTCGCTCGTTGCCTAGGAAAAGGTGAGGAGGAGCATCACCACTCGGAAGGTCTAGGGACCATTAACGCAGCACATCTCTATCTTCTGTTTTGGTTTGATCACATTTACACTGCATTGGAAAACCATAAATGCCTGCAGAAGCAAGTCACTGGATCTTGGAAAAACAGCAGTGGACTGTTTTTCATTATTCCACACTGTTCATTGTTAATTTGTTACACCAGAGACCGCTATTTCACTAGAAATGGCAGTTGGTGGCTGCACAGTCATTGCACAATTAATAAGAGCATGAGTCTCTGGCAATGGAAGTTTTTTTAGTAAAACTGGTGCTCTAAATAATGTTGTGGTTCAAGAAAATGATGATGATGAAGATAAAAATTTAAATAACACTTGAATGTGATGGGTTTTAAAGCCGCAAGCCACATGGTCTTGAGCAGAGGTTGGCGACACCTTTTGTCATAAAAGCACCTTCAAACAAAATATTGATAAACTTTAGATCTCTCTAAACAAAAGAGGAAACCATCACTTCATTCTGTGATTTTGGTTTGCTTCAACTTGCAATAATTTTGACATTGCCTTGAAGTTTCACTCTAAAAGAAATTTCTTATGATGAATGTACCGAAGACTGGGCCTCAGCTAAATTTAAATGGAGAGAAAGGTTCTTAATTAAGCGGCACACAACAGAACATATAAAGGGAGACTTTAAGAAACCCTTTCCATGGGTGCACTTCCACTTACAACCATCTCCAAAAGAAAAATATTTTGCTGGACTTTAGTGCCTTCTATAGAAGAGTACGGCTGGGCAATGGATAGAATAACCGACCAATTAATCAAATATTGCTTTAATCTGGATTATTCTGTTTATCCGGTCAACCGGTAAAACTTTGACGAACCAAAAGAAAATCAAAATTAAATGCTTTTACCATAGAGAAATGGCCGAGTACATGCATATGAAGGGCAAAGTTTAGGTGAAATTTTAACCTAAAATAAACTGTAAGGGCAAGATTTGTAACTCCAGACAAGGTGCAGAGGGTTACATGTGCTCTGGCCACTTTAACATATATTGAGTGTCTGTTTAGAACAGCGAGAACAATCAAAGGAAGCCGCTCTTGCCGATGAATATCAACAAACCTCTTTGCCTCATGCAACTCAAGTAATAAACTGCGAGTGTGTCCTCAAACTGTTGTCAACTATGTATTGAAGTTGATTCATAATCAATTTTGTATACTGTTTATCAAACATTCAGCGAAGGCAAAGAAAAATATATATAATTTTGAGTATGCATGGAAAGGAATGAGAATGATTAATCTATTAATAATCGGTTAAGGGATGGCAATTATAATGAGGCTTAAATTATAATCAATGCTCAGCCCTACAGTCCAGTCATTGTTGCTAGCAGCTGAAATGACCAAGCGACGACTGACAACAGTGGCACTGCCTTAACAAGAAAACTTCAACTAGCGATAAAAGATAACGTTCAGAAGAGATTGCAGTGGCATGATGCCTGACTCGGCTTGATCATGGTTGAGAACCGCACACCTTGCTGCAGATGTGCTGCTCCTGGCATTGTTTACAGTCACCATTATGTTTGCCTGCTGAGTCATAGGACAAAGTTATTGGGCTGGGACAAAGGCCACCGGCCCAGATAATTGAGGCGCCAACGAGCACGGCTAGGCGATAGCAAAACATAAAGATGACTCAAATCGAGGTGCTCCTAAACGATGAGAAACAGGCAGAGTGGCATAGCAGTGGCCATGCACTCTTGTCCTCAAACCGCCTCTTATTGCTACTTCAGCATCTCTTGTAGAAGCCCAGCAAGCAGTGGATTTCGGTCATTGCACTAACATTTCAGCTTGCACTGTCCAGGACTCAGCACGACCCCCAACATACTCAAGGACAGAGATACAAAGAAGCAACCTACTAACCTCTGTGTAAATGTGATCAAAGAAACAGGGAATACCCTCGAGCTTATAGCCTAGAAAATAGAAAAGCACCATACACAACATTAACTTCCTAAAAGAGAGGGACATCAAGCCTGGTTCTAGGGAAAAAGATATAGGCTAAAAAAGTTCTTCCACTCACAGTCAAAGCATAGGAAAGACTTATTCACCACAGTTACAAGCTTCAATTTTGTTACTGACTCTTTCAGTATAAATTTGTGGACATTCTCTTGGGTCAAAACGTTTTCAGGACAGATCCATAAAGGGTCACAATTATTCCCTCAAATGTTTTCACAGTTCCAAATCCTGACCCCTGTTTTTATGCAATCTTTGCAACAAATTCTGCAAGAAAAGCAACAAAAAAAACCCACTTGAATAAATGTAATATTTGTGCGCCCTTATGGGATCCTGCTGAAATAGTTTTGACCGAAGGGAATGACTACAAGCATATACTGCAAGAATCAATAATAATAATATTGATAAAGCATAGAAATGCGTTGACTAAGCCCTTTCTGTGCTTCGACTCTGAGTGGAACAGGCGTACAGGGACGTAGCCAGGGAGGGGGAGGGGTGCTTATGGGGCTTCAGCCCCACCCCGAAATCCAGCCGACCCTATAATATTATACACAAACATTTTGACCCCTTACCCCTCTCCGAACCCGAAGTAAAGGACATCCCAGCCACCCCCCCTAAAAAGAAAAAAAAAAAAATTCTTGGCTATGCTACTGCTTTTTGCCTGTATTTTTTCGTTAGAAACAAGTTCGATGTCCACCCGTTTTTGGAAACTTGACCTTGTGTATGATGTTTTTGTACTTCCTAGGTTAAAAACTCAAGCTATTCTTCTTTCAACCACATTTATTCAGAGGTTCGTAGGTTGCTTCATTTCATTTGTTGTCTTGGGGACCTTCGGGGTTGCGTACAGTAGAAGGCTGCAATATCCGGGAACGAATTCCCTTTGTAGGGTGGTTGTAAGCAGGAAAATTATATTTTTAAAGAGTGCCTTTGTGTCTCCCTCTTCAGGGTTGCCTATTTATTTTTAGCCCATTCTTTTAGACTTCAGTGTTTGCATCATCCTTCATGAATCCCTACTACTGTATTGGGTGATTCACCTTGTTTAACCTGTGCCAGCTTGCACCTCGGTTTTGTTCTTTAAAGACACTAACACGCCCTAAAAGAGACACTAACACGCCCAAGCGATTTAATTTGTGTCAAGAGACTAGCCAGGAAATATTTTACTACACAGCCACGTATATATTTAATAAAGCCAAAAAACTCTGCAGTTCGAAACCGAAAAGACGATGACGACGAATTTGCGTGCACCGTTTGTCGTGCGATTATTTCGCACGACAAACGCTCAATGTCTGCGCTTGAAGATCAATTGGCTGGTATCACAAATGACCGTTCCGAAGTAAAGACCCCTCATCCGTCGCAACGTTGGTGCATCATGCGTCACCATCGCCCGCAGTACGTCACTGTATTGAATATGATATGCATACGTACTTCCTGTGATCTGTGTAAGATTTTTTTTTTCAATCAGCAGTTTTGCTGGCTTTTGGAGACCACAAAAATGGGGTCCATATTCTTTTTTTTTTAATGTTGCGTGTGTGCCTTAGATGATGCAAAACTTGGAATATATTTGGTACATACAGTTTAAACCCCAGATAACCATGAAAAAGAGAGTGAATGTGATAGCAAGCAACCAATTCAAGAATGGCTGTTTTTGAGCAGAAACAAACAAATTTGGATCCGCAAGTAATGTTCTGGGTAGTTGGAATATCGTAGGTCATGTTTAAACAAAAACCTCAACAAGCATAAACACCATATCAATGTCCCTTTAATAGATTACGAGTTACATTTCTAGACACAAGCATAAACAATTTTTGTGATTAAGTTGCAAGCACACAGTTAATTCATAGGAATGATGAGAGCATACTTTTGTTCACTAGTGTTGATACTGACTAAATGATAAACCATCATTTAAGACAAAAACAAAAAAACGGTGCAAATGTCACAAGAGAACAGACACATAAAGCACAGTGCTATGGTGTGTTCACCTCCACCTCTTTTTACATATTTCCATTCTTTGCTTCTAACCCATTTGTTAATAATTTTTTGTTTGGGATTATTTGTGCTAGGGGTTCACTGTAATGACCCACCTGCCATGGCATTCACTTTAGGCGCAGTCCTCCCTTCTTCAAGGCACCATCCTCGAAGAAGTGCTAGGTGGGCGTCCCTTTCACTCTTGTGATGCAGTTCCTCAGGTTCCCATAGGTTGCAAGCTGCCAGACAAGCCAGCTGAGTCAGGAAAACCAGTCCTGCAGCAAATTTCACTTTAACACTTTTAGACGTAAACACCCATGCACCTAAAAGAAGACAAGACAAACAGCAAAGCAAGTGGTTAGTCCTTCTTAAATGACTTCTTTCATTTCGCTGGGAACATATGTATAGGTCACACACTAGTGTACATCCAGTGGTATGGCTTAATTTTAAGATGAGCACTCTCTTATATAACTTCAAACTTATCTAGAAAACACTGAATATAATGGGTCAGACATAAAAGTTATTTAAATAACCTGTATGTTTACTCAACATTTCCTTATATTATACACAAACAGTAATGCAGTGTGGGGCTGTGCATTAATTACAAACTTGCAACCGGTTAACAGTTGACATTTATTTAAATAATTGATCAGTTAATGAGTGACTCGGAGGTTTATAAAATTGTTAACATAATTTGAAATTGTGAGTATTACAAAATACAGTTGGAGAATGTAATTGCTGGGATTCCCATATCCTATGCAATGGAGGAACGAAACGTAATAATGAAGCCATTTTTATTTAGTGGTGTGTTTGGCACACAATCAAAGGTCATGGGTTGATGTGGCAGAAGCTGACATCAAATGCCAGCTACTAAGTATTATTGAAGTAATTAAAAAGTGAGATTTGGAATGCAATGCAAATAAGTCATTATCCTCCAACAGGAAACACAACAGCAAATTAATATGGTATAGCCCTTAGACAAGGATGCTGTACAAAGTTACTCCCTGTAATGGCCCACGAGCTCCCCAAATGAATACAAATAAATAATAGTTCGTAATGACATAATAGGGCAACCTTCCATCAACACAAGTGACGTCAAGACAACTGTTATCGTATGACTGCCACGAAGCACGGACATCCACACAGTAGTCAATATATGCTGTCATTTCACTCAACTCACGCTACGATGCTTGCTAATCATGTCAGCTTTAGCCTGGTCAGGGTGGCACCTATTACAAAATTCAGACTTCACTTTAGTTTATGTCATGAAGAGAGACACACCATATAATAAGTAAAACAACCTTAACTAGAACTTTTAGCAAGGAGGAGGGTGCAATAGCTTAATGTACAGAACATCCATGAAAAAAATCGAACCCTGGTTTTTGTACCGCAAAAATAAACTAGACTTTGGAGAAAGCTCAAACTCCGTTAGAACATAGCCGCAGCCATTCAAGCGAGATGCTCAAGTTTTAACGCATATCATTACCAGAATAAAAAGTTAGAGGTGGAAAACTGTTTTTGACTATAAGACGCCGTCCCTGAGAAGCAGCAGACAGAATGCCGCTGTTTGTGACAGCATCTCACAGATGGTGCCTCCACCTGCCAAGGGTCAGAGCCATAGATAGGGGAGAGTTTGGCCATCCATTGTCCTCGGTGAACCCATGCGGACCCTTGACTCCTCCCAACGGCATTGACGTTGGCCCTAGCAACCACGTGGCAACGATGAACCCGCTGCACATGACACGCTCCTGACCACCATTTTTGTTCTTATTCCCCGTACGCGTGCATAGGCTACTCTGGAGGTTTACCGGCTCCTTGATTTTCTGAGCTTTTATTTTCAAAGACAAAAATGATTTGTTGCTGCGCCATCGGGTGCTCTAACAGCAGCCATGACGGCTTTCAGTTGTTTATTATTCCGAAAGAAAAAAATGAGGGAAACTCTGGCTAATAAAAATAAAGCGCGACACGTGGACGCCAACAGCTGGTTCCCGACTTTCTGAGGTAAGAATCTTTTCATTTATTCCAAAAACTTTCCACTATGGAAATGATCACTTGTGCCTTGCGTGATCGCATCTACAGCTACGATCACAGACGGTATGAATTTATAAATTACTGTCAATAGCATTGATCTGGTCATATATGCAGTTCAAACTTTGGCTCAACTCAAGAAAAGTGAGACATAATTATAGTTCGTTGCAATCAAGATAAGCATGGTGCGATCACTAAAGCTATGATCTTTGTTTGTTGCATAAAGATATACGAGCACATGGAATTTAAATGAAACAAAACGGCAAAGTTAATTTTAATTATGTGCATTTCTCATGTTCACTATCTGCAACATCTAAGGGGCCCTGGTTATGACAGCCCTGTTTAAACTAGTGACTGCTAAGTAAATTGAAAGTTATAAGTGTCCTGGATTTAATGTACATAAAGCAACTAAGCATGTAAACATTAATTATAGGGCATTATAAGGTAAAATAAATTATATTTTTCTAGGCACTTTCAAGAATCCCAGTTTGAGCAAAATCGCGCAGATGGCTGGATGAAGCTGAAGCAGAAGACTGCCATTTCAACAGTGTTTGCACGTTCTAATCGCAAGAGAAGGAAATCACCAATGATGCGAAATGCTCCATTACCAAAGGTAAGTGTGCCACATAACGGGTGTATTTTTTTTATTCGTTCACATGTACCCCAGGCAAAATAAATAAGAGTGACATTAGGACACTTTTAATTTTGCCATTTGCTTACCCGACTTGAGGGACATTAAGAACAAAATTGTTTGTGGAGTTAGGCGGCTAAGTGTAGTTAGGCGAAGCAGCTCAGCGGCTCTGCTCCGCAAAGACGCTGTGCAAGCTTGTACAGCGTCCCAATAGACCTTTTTCTAAATTTCCCAAGCACCGAGTGCAGTTACAGGCATTGCACGTGCTGGCGTCTGCAGTAGTAATTGTTCAAAAGCAAAAAGTCTAAAACAAATTTTGCCTTGCACGCGCGTTCGTCAAAGCCTTATTATGTTTATTTACTTTGAATCTTTTATAAGAGAAAGGCCAGCGCGCGCGGACCGTAGAATTGCACTTCCAGCGTTGTTCTCGATGCTTGGGTAGTTTAGAAAAAGGTCTAATGGGACGCTGTCTGCTTTTGTGTGCTATCAATACCCGGCCGATTCAGTCAAGGCAATCCGCTCTCCAAAGACGTTGCCATGCCGACAATTATTGCGTTCATTTAGGCTTAGTAATGGCCAGAATCAAAAGACTATAAGAAAATGCGGCGAGGTCATTGCTCATGCTTTGCGATTTAAGTAAGATAAGGCAAAGTGAAAGCCTCCCGCACCATTTGTTGCTGACTAACGCGCCCGATATTAAAGCTACAACGACATATTAGTTCCATAGCGAGCGGCACTCACTCACCGGGGCACCGCCATGTTTCCCCGCATCTTTACCGAGCCAGTCACGTGATATAATAATCCCTCTCCTAGGTACTGCGGCAAACTTTAGCCGCTGTTAGCGCTTTGAGCAAACGGGCCCAGACTATGTTGTTCACGCGTTAACTGCAGTTTAAGGAACGCTAGTTGGTTATAAAATAAAACTGAACATAAGCAATTAATGCAAGTGCATGTAAACGACTGTTGGCATTCGCGAGGACAGAAGCAGATGATGTCTGATTCGGTACTTATCAAAATGCCTTTTCACAGAAAAAAAAAAATTCAAGTGACTACAATTTTAGGTTTTTCAATTAGTTTTATTTCCTTCTATAAAGAACCGACAAAGTTGGGGACAAGGATACAATACTTTTGTCAGGTATTGTATCTTTGCTGCCAGTCGCTCGGGTTAGACCACTGAGGGAGCGCTGGAAGCCTCGAGGGCAAGTGGCGCCATCTGCACAACCTACTCGGCAACGGCAAATGAAGATCCGGCATGGAACAAATCAATTTACGACTGCATCTCAAAAGACATTGGCTCAACCTTCCAAAATGAACCGATAATGATCGTGGGTGACTTTAACTGCCATATATTAGAACTGGATGGTAGGGAAAGCAAAGCAGCAGAACTCAGGAAACTAGTAAAAAACACAGCATAAAGGGGGGGGGGGGTGCAACGATTTCCGAACTTCGGTCAAAAATTTGTGGAAGTTGCCCTCTGACACTTCTGAAGTAACAAACAGAAAACCGATTTCTCCAGCGTGTCCTAGTTGTTGCATAAAAAAGATAAATATTGGCATTTCGGGCACCCCTCAACTCACTTCCAGTCTTCAGGGTCACACCGGGTCCCCCTCCTAGTGACGTCCTTCGGAGTGCCGTGTGGGTTCCCGTGTGCTGTCTCGGAGGACACTTCCTCTCCCTCTCTCTGCTGACATTAGCGGGCGTTAGGCTGCAGCTTAGAGCCGAGCGAAGTCACGTAATCTTCTAGCCGTAGTTCCTCCGGCTGCCACTTGCGGCTGCAAGTGGGGGAAAAAGCTCGGATTTTGCTTTGCAATTATGCAGCGGAATCGCAACATTTTGAAGGAAGGAAATGGTTTCTCTATCCTCCGGGGCACGATAAACAGCGTAAAAATGATGAGATGCAAATTCTTTTAACCATAAAATTGTTGAACCCCCCTCTTTTAACTATAGTTAACCTGGAGCCACAATGCAAGGGAAAAACAACCTGGAGCCGCAACAACCAAAAATCAACAATTGACTATATCCTCATAAACGACGAGGCAGGCAAAGAAAACATCTAGATGCTATACACATAGACGAGAGCAAGGTAAGCAGCTGTGCAAGCAATTATAACAGAATACTGCTAAAACTAAACACCAACAACCAAAGACAGAAAAAAATAAAAACATCCAGGAAAACCACTGGAAGCTAGGAGCAGAACATAAAATAGAAAAATTTGCATCAGAATTGGAGAAAAAAATTACAAAAGCCAGCACATATGAAGAACTAATGAGCCTAATTACACAAACAGCCAAAGAACAAGTGGAAAAAACCAGGAAAGGGAAACAATGAAACCGAAGGCCCTGGTTCGACAGGAGGTAAAGGAGGAAATTGGGAAGACGAGAGATCAACAGGCAGCACAGGTGGGCACAACGAAAAGGCTACACCCAAGACTACCTGTGGGAATGTTTTGAAGAACAAAGAGTTCGAGTGAAGGCACTATACCCCGTTTCACCTCATGTTGTACCGCAGCGAAGGCTAGAAGTGTGAGCTCATAGCGTTGGCAGCTGCCCTTGGTGCACGAGAGCTTGTGCCGCCGAGGTGTGCCATTGAGCAAGGAGCTCGCGCTTGTAGCCTTTCCTGCGGTACAACACAAGGTGAAACAAAGTATGGTGGCCACAAAAATTCAACAGTTCTGCAGAAAGACAGAGGAAGACATACTGAAAAAGGGGAAAAAATCTAACGAGACATTCTGGAGACAAATTACTACAATGCATGCAGAAAAAAAGAAAGAACAGACACGTATGCTGCAAAGAGGGGGCAAAGACCTGAAAGAAAAATGCGAAATAGAAGAATGGATGACTGAGTACTTCTTACAGCAACAACAAAAAACTGAAGCAAACCCCGGAAGAGACATACAGTCAAAAAGAAACTTTGGGAAAACGCAAAATACAGAAGCATTCCATACTAGATCCTATAACCACGGGGGAAATGAAGAGGCAAATAAGACGACTGAAAAACAAGAAGGCAACCGGTATGGATGATATTCCGAACGAGTTCCTGAAGGCAATTAAAAAAGAGGCAGCAAACAACCTCAGAACATGTTTTAATGAACGCCTGGTGTCAACAGAAATACCGTAAGTGTGGAAACAGGCAAGAGTAAAGCTCCTATATAAAGGGAAACAAGCAGACCCAAAAGACCTCAATGCCTATCGACCAATCGCAATAATCAGCAGTCTGCAAATGATTTGCAAGCATAATAAACCACAGGCTACAGATCTTGTATGATAAAAACAACTTTTTCGTAGAAGCTCAAAATGGCTTTCGGCAAAACAGAAGAACAAGCGATAACCTATTTACGTTAATCCCAAGCCATAGAAATGAAAAACATCCAAAACTCCCAGTTGTTCCTGGGATTCCTAGACCTAGAGAAAGCATATGATGCAGTACCACACCAAAGATTATGGGATAAGATGTAGAAAAGCGGACTCGAAAAGGAAAGTGTCGAACACCTGAAGAGCTTGTACAGGGGTTGCGAGGCCTGGTACACATTAGAAAACTACAAATCAAAACCAGTACCAATAAGTATTGGACTGAGACAGGAGTGTCCCCTATCGCCAACACTGTTTAATGTGTACACAAACGACCTTCTCAAACATCTCAAACATCTGGAGGAGGAAGGGGCAGGGTTGGGCTTGAGCACTGCGACCAAGGACGGACAGGAAGAATACACGCGCATCCCATGCCTGGCCTTTGCGAATGATGTGGTGCTCCTCGCAGAGTCCTCAACCGATATGCAGCACATGATTGACATCTGCACAGGGGTGGCAGCGAGGGACAACCTGAAATTTAATGCAGGAAGAACGCAGTGGATGGGCTCCAACGTGAATTTGGACACCAGCTTTTACCTACAAAATTAAACAGTACAGAAAACAACAGCCTACAATTACCTTGGTGTAACAATAACGCACAGCAAGGACTACCTGACCAAACAGGAAAAAAACGTAATTAAAAAGTCAAACAAACTGAAGGGGGTGGTGTGGCATCTCGCCAGGCACTCATACAATAGACACTCTATTGGGAGGCTACTATGGAAATCCCTTGCAGTCCGAGCAGTGACTTACGCGAATGACGCGCTTACATACAGCGAGACAGTGGTAAAGTGTCTGGATCGACATCAATACAGACTGGGGAGATGGCTGCTGAGCTGCACAGCAAACGCAGCGGTAACCGGGGAAATGGGATGTCTACCCACGAGATACGAGAGGACAGGTCGAAGCTTGCATACATGGGCAGACTAAAGTTCCTTCCCCAGGAGAGCTACGCCAGAAGGATGTACTACCACATCCGATATCAGGGGTCCAAGACAGGCTGGATGAAGAGAATAAAGACCATAGATTCTAAGTACGGTGGGGGCACAACAAGACATCTGGTGACGACGGAACAGGAGTGGGCGAGGACAATACGGGCAGTGGTGACACGGGCCGGAATAGAGGACTGGAGAAGGACAATGCAGAGGATACTGAGCCTCCAACTGTACAGGAAACACAAGAAGGAACCAGCGCCCTATCCACACTAGCAGGGAGACCGAGCCAGCGCGCTGCTGTTCCAGGCTCGAACGGGCTCCCTACTGACCCAGAGACGCAGATTTGAGCTCTATGGAGAAGATCCAAACTGCGAGCTCTGTGGCGGCGACGAGGAGACTGTCGAACACATCTTGGGACAACGCAGTAGCATCGACCATAAAGGGCAAAGCGCGTTGTAGTGCGGTATAGCACAGGCCTTTGGCTACGGAGAAGAGGCCGAGGAGGGCAGCGACGACGACAGTGACCGTAAAAATTACACGCCACATGGGGACATGAATCATCCGACGGAGGCAACAAACCGCCGCCTCGTGGCGTGAGAGGGACTTTGCCGAATCGCGAAACCCCTTGCCTAGAGCGGAACGCCTGAACTGTGGCCTGAACAACCTCAACAATGCACTTCCCCCCCCCCCCCCACCCCCACCCCCCCTTGCCGCCCTACCACGCACACGCCCGCTGTCGCACAAGCCGTCTCGCTAGCAGACGGACGGAAGAGCGCAGTGGCGCAGCGAGCGCAAGAGAGAATTTATCTCGGCCTCAGGGTGCGCCGTGCGTGCGGAGCAAGGCGACGGGCGGCGCAGGTCGGAGCGCTGTTTCAGCTCATTTTGTCCGCGATAGTACAGGTTGAGAAGTTGAAAGCAGATCACCCCGTTATCATGTCGCTAGTACCACGGCAGAACTTCAAAATGAAATATTAACGATAAACTCGCGGATACCATAAGAACCCCAAAATATCGCCGTGAGAATGCAATTGAATGAGGGCACTCTGGGCACAGGGTATTTTTAAAGAGCGAAAGCAATCCGCGAAACCACGAAAGAGACAGTCAGACATATGTGGTCGCTCGCATCAAATGTAAACAATAAAAGGTTTCTATATTCACTTACCAGGTTCCCGAACAAATAACAAGTGTTCGAAAGAATGTTGCAGATAACATCTCACCTTTAAATCCGTCAACACGTCCAAACGACACGTCCAGATGAAACTGCGAGTCTGCATCTTTTCAACGGAGTCTGCGACGCCGTTGAAAAGATGGATTGTCTTGGCCGGCCGGTTTTACGGTTTTACCGGTTTTACTTCAAAGCGCTGCCCATGCAAAGAAACCGAAACTATACTTGAGGTAGTTTCGGTATAGATTCCGGCAGGTTTGAAAGATCAAGGAACGAAAGTAAACCCTGAGACAATGATAAACAAAATAACAGACAAAACAACTTGCCCTCTCCGTTATTTTATTTCTCCTTGTCTCAGGGTTTAGATTACGTTAAAAAAATTAAATGCATTTTTTACGTGCGTTGTGTGTGTGTGTAGGTGTGAACGCGAGAGTCCGTGTGCGTGCCTCTGCGGATGCGATTGCGTGTGCAACACTGGTGTGTGCAGGCGTGCATGCGTCTGTGTGCATGTGTGCGCGGGAGCGCGCGCGTGTATGCCACGTCCCTGTGCGCGTGCATGTATGTGTGCGTGCGTGTGCATGTCTGCATGAATGTGCGTCTGTGTGTGTGCTTGCGCGCTCGCGTGTGCGTGCGTCTGTGTCTGTGTGCGTTTCATTTTGTTAGCCCTGGACATTGGTGACATAATTTTTTTTTAGAAAGGGGGGGGGGGGGGGTCCGTATGCCGCAACCTACCGCCACATTTTTGGGGGGTATTGGGGGGATTCCCCTGGCTACGCCACTGGCCCTGGATGTAAAACAAAATGTAATTTGTGTAGCTAAAAAGCGGCAGAATATTAACAGCAGCGGTCAGGTGTGCCTGCGGAGACTTTCAAACTTCGTTTAAAAATAGGGTGTAAAAAGAAAACAAAAAGTCATTTTGGCAACAAACTACGGCCAACCTACTTCAAAAAGTGCAAAAAAAAAAAAACAACTTTTAAATTTTTGCAGTGAAGACAAAGGCACCGGCACGAGCGCGTGGCTTTAGAAAGTGCCTCTTATGAACGAGTGCTCGTACAAACAAAAGCACACTACTGAGCGATGCTCACGCGCCTCTCTGCGCCTTTGTCTTTACTGCAGACATTTCTGAGATGGAGTATAGTTAGAATTTCCAGCGCCTTTGGGATGATAGCATCAGTGTCACGAAATACTGTGACGTCGTCTTGGCTGCAAGCCATACTCACGAAATCCCTATTTCTATACTGAAAGCATTTATGAAAATAAATATCCTTTGCATTTAAAAATATCTTTAAGGGCACACATTGCACTTCGGGCATACTGTGAATTAGAGTAGCTCGTCTTTATATTTATTCATTTTCATTAATTCATTTATATTCGTTGTTGAAGTGCTACAAATATTTATTTTGGAAAATATGACGAAGCCATAGCATAAAAAACAATACATTTTGCACAAAAATGCACAAAAAATAAATAAATGCAGGCACAGTTTGTACTACGCGACGAAGGGATAGCACAATTGTTAAAAAAAAGCACAAATAAAAAAATAAAGGCAGAGTTTGTACTAAAACAAAAGAAAGCGTCATTTCCAATCTCCCTTTCAAATCACGATTCCAGAGATGCTACTAGTGTTTCCGAAAGCGTTATTTTTTTTTTTTTTCTCCACTTGGTTTCCGAAACCGAAACCAAAAGTATTCAGAATTTACAGTAGCACCAAAACAATTTTGCACAAAAGCGGTCACTCCAAAAATATTGTCGCAGGCGCGTTAAAAAAAAGCCGTTGTTTATACGACGTGTAAAAGAAAAAGTAAAAAAGAAAAAAAAAAGAGCATTTAAAGTTTTGCGTTTGTGACCACCACTTGCTCCGTAGTTCCAGATGGTCTGGCACAGTCTGGCATACGAATGGGCGCGTTCAGTAGCGCCTCCCTTGCCCCCGAACGGAGTGGTTCGAGTCGGAGTCATCGGAGCGCCTACTGAACGGCAAAAAAACGCCGCGGCTCCAAACCTGCTTCTACGCAATTTCCGCTTCCTCCCCTGTGCCAGCCGGTCTCCGAATAAACTGGAAGCAGACGATGGCGAGCACGATCGCTTTTATTTGACGCCGGTTTTGAAGAAGTCTTTACAAGGTCGTTGAAGAAAAAGCGGGTGATTGTACACATCAGCGCTGCTGTTCGAAGCGATGCAACGCGATCGAGCCCTTTGCTCGGCGGTGCAAAGGCAGCTACTGTTATAAAAGCCGACAAAAATCGTCGTCAGCACACACAAAATACAGAGCTCAGCGAATCTACCCCGTCGGTTGCGATACTTTTATACGGCCAGAAGTTTGTTCTGCCCTTCGTAACGAACTTCCTATAAAATGTATTCGTATACACACGGGAAGTTCGGCCGCGCTCGGCGATCAAGGTTTTGTCGGCCGAAGCGAGCCTCAGCCTCAGCCAACGTGCACCCCGATTTAGCTACGCAAACAAAACATTAATCGGTATCATGCTCTGCGTGAGTGTCCAACCGGGTTCTAAAGTCGCGTTCATACCCTGTTTTGCTCTGTTGAGCGCGGACGGGACTATCGTCAATATTACTGAGTCTCCGTGCAACGGTGATCAAGACACGGCGTCAAATGAACGTTTACGTTGTTTATTAGCATATTCAAACCAAACAAAATACGGTCCAATGCATTTTCCGAAAGAGCCTTACCTGAAAAATATATTCGAACGCGTTATTCGTCTTACCTTGAGCACTTTTCATTAACAAAAGCGAGCAAACCGCGCACCCGCGATAGAACCGAAGCAACTTATCCCGCCATATTGTTTGTTTTTTCCTCTTTTAACGCCGGAAATCGTCACCAGTCAGGAAATGACGTCATTTTAGCTCCTTTGACTCTACGTGCACCGTCTCCGGACTCGGTGCTTCGGAGCTTGACTCCGAAGCCCCGGAGTTACGTGCACCGGAAGTGACTTTTGGCCGTCCAGTGGAAGGAGTCAGTGACTCCTTGACTCCGGGGCCGCTACTGAACGCGCCCAATGGGAACCGCGCCGTCGTCGACGTCGCTCTGTGGTTTGCGTTCATTTCTACCTTTAAACCGATTCCTTTAGGTTTTTTTTTCTTTTTTCTTTTACAGGTACTTTGTCAAGAGTAACAAACGATATCTGGGAGACGCTGATGGACGCTGCGTCTAGTCAACGACCGTAGGTTGTGCACGGCTGCCGGAGCACCTTCGGGAAACGCTAACCGCCGGTAAGCAAGTGTTTCTCTTTTAAATTGATTCGATAGCGTGTTGATTGAACATATTTGAAGGGATATCCAGCTAGTTTTCGTTGTAGATTCAAAGTTTGAAGTGAGACGCATGCCGAAATGACAGAGACGAGCTTAGAGCATCGCCGCCGGGCGTGTCACGTCCGAATAGATAACTGTCGAGCCAGTCCATCCAGGCTGTCCCTATTCGCACTCCGAGTGCGGATAGTGGGCGCGTTAAGTCGGCGCTTCTTTACTTCTACTCCGACGCTCCGAGTTTCATACTCCGAGCGCAGCAACTAAACGGCGCATAGCGTACAAGAGCGCGATACACCGAGGCTGCGTTCCAAACCTACTCGAATGGATCCGAGTTACACTGGCCGATTATGTCACGTGACAACAAAAATAGAGAAACGCTGGACGCGGGTAGGTTTTCGATAACCACCTTTACCCTAGAGTTAGATCGGTAGATCGAGTAAGCTCCTTCCGACCGTGAATACGGGTGGCAGAAGCCGAAAATATTTCGAAGATAAATAATTAGGCCCGTGTGGAGCCGCAGACTCTAAAGCAAAAGAGACTGCAACGTATGAAGTTTCTACGAACGTTTTAATATTCCTGAAAGGTTTTAAGACCCGTTTCGTGCACATATCTGGAAGGTTACCATGGCCGATCTACAGGGTGAAACAAGGAGACGCCAGGTTCTTCAAATTAATTGAAAAATTCGGTCTCTTATAGCGAGTTCGTTTCGCACGCACTGGCACCGTTCGAGTTCTCTAACAGAAGGCATCGCACTCACAGAGTGTTGCACGGAAAACTGGACTCAAACGAACTTGCCAAATGCACCGAGTGCAGAAGCCTGATGCTGCCGCCATCTATGTTGTAGAAAAGGCACCGACTTCAAACCGAAACTAGCGCCTTTCTGTTCCGAGCATAGAGGTTCTGAGTGATGCGTGGGAATGCGAGAATGCAGTTGCTACCAACGTTTATCTACTAACGTTGGCAACTGCAGCCTGTAGTTTATAGTTGCAATGTCTTCAAGCAGCTCGGCTGCCGTAGAGCTAGTTACAGACGGCGTAAATTTCCGCAACCAGCTGTCTACAAAGCAGCTGGTTGCGATCTTTCAATTCTTATAACCGTTTACACTGAAGAAAACTAATGATGCTGTCCGAGCAGAAGCTTGATCCATTTGAGCATGGTATTATGCGTGAACCACTGAAAGGGTACGGCTTAAAACTAGCCTGTTAGAATATCCAGCGAAACTGGGATTTTCGATTTAAATCGTCACTATAGGTGGATTAGATATTAGCTTTGGTGAGGGCGTCGAGAACGAGAGCTTTCTCGAACAAAATACGACGGGGCAAGTTAGCTGCTTAGGTAAATGTTAAACATGATGATGTTGCCCAATCCTCGGGTAAAGTCACCATCTTTAGCTTTCTCTGATGCTTATTGGGTAGTCAGAGGGGGAGTTTTATCGACAAATGTTCAATTTTTCACCCGCACACGGATGGTGATAGAAATCTCGAGGGCCGCTGTTGCGTTTGTTCTGAGCATTTCTTTACACACTGGTATATTTCAGCGTTTTTACGGCAACAGAGTGATTTAAAACCTGCAAATGAATCGCGGGTTGTCAATTGCTTCCTTCGTGAAATAGCAGGCGCTCACAATTCAAGTTCGCGTTTGATTTCGTTGCCCGCGGGACATGATTTCTATCAGAAAATCTACTTTTTTTTTTTCCGTAGAGTAGATTGTTGGGCTAGTTGGTTTTAGAATTTGGAATACATTTTAGCGCTCAAAAAACAGGGACAAAGAGGCGAGAAACAGACAGCACAGTGCGCTTTTGGAATACATTTTAGCGCTCAAAAAATGGGGACAAAGAGGCGAGAAACAGACAGCACTGTGTGTCTGTTTCTCGCCTCTTTTTTTTCCGTTCGGTTCCGCCACATATCGTAGGAGACGAACCCTCGTCGTCTGCTCCCGCTCCTCGCCGGCCCCGCCGGAGCGAGGCATGACGGGATTGCATTTTGGCGCACTCCCGATTTTCTCGGTGCAGCGAGCGCATGCACGCGTGGGGTGTCAGCGATGAAACGAACTCGGAGAGTGCAACCACTCGTGGAGCGCCGGCCGAAACGAACCCGTTCCTTGCTGCGAGTGGGCACGCGTGGGCACGAGTGCCGTGAAACGAACTCGCTATTAACCTATCGCGCTACGACTTTGTGCAGCGTTGCCCACAGATGGTGCATTTTTTTTGTAAAATTTGAAAAGAGCGAACTTACCTGAAGAAAAAGTAAAGAGAGAAAAAGGCTTAGCTCCTATGGAAACGCAGCGTAGCCACCGGTCTTCAAACAACACGGTGCCGTTTCGCACGGGCCACAAGAGATGGCGCAAGCGGTCGTGACGCCAACTGCCGCCAACGAACGAGCAGACGACGCAGACAGGAACTGCAGTTCCTTGTTGTTACCGCACTTGTTTTTGTTTCTGCGATTGTCGCCGCCCGCGGAACGCGCTCCGCTTTTGAGTCGAAAAGATTGTCTGCTTGAGGCGCTGGCTCTCGGCGCCGTATGCTCGTTCGTTGGCGGCGTTCGTTGCGCCATCTCTTGTGACCCGTGCGAAACGGCGCCGTGTTGTTTGAAGACCGGTGGCGTCGCTGCGTTTCCATAGGAGCTAAGCCTTTTTCTTTCTTTACTTTTTCCTCAGGTAAGTTCGCTCTTTGCAAATTTTACAAAAAAAGTGCACCATCTGTGGGCAACGCTGCACAAAGTCGTGGCGCGATAGGTTAAGAAACCGAATTTTCCGGTCGATTTAAAGAGCCTGGTGTCTCCTTGTTTCACCCTGTATTTATAGGGAGTATTTACTGGCGGCCATAGCTATGTGCGCGACTGCTGAGCCTGTGCTGACGGCGTGCTTCCATAGTTCTTTCGCCACGTGCGTTTCGCACCACCAAGATTGCCGGCCTTAGGAGCCTATTAACGTGAGCTCGTTCCGAGCATGCGCTCTAAACATCGCCCTCAAATATGGCGTCCAGTGAATACTCCCTATTGACCATGCATGCTGTTACGATTTCAATTAAAGAAAACATTCTTGAACCGGCTCGTCGACGCAGGAAACCCCCAAATTTGTCAGATTCCCTGGTTCCGTCGGTTCCGTCTCGCAGCGAGACGGAAGCACGCCGATACCGGCGCACCGTTGTTCAATTGCACGTCAATTCGTTTTTAGGCGGTATGCATGGAGCAAACCTTTCCCGCAACGCTAACTGGTGTTTCGGCTTTCCAATCTAAGTAGTGATGGGACGAATCACTGGAGATTCAGATTCGGTCGGATTCGGAAATTTCCGAACTTCCCGTGACGAATATTCGGCAGATTCGGAGATTCGTCAGGTTCGTTGCTGGTTGCAGACGGCACTATGAACCTTGTCGTAAGCCTCACGAATGCGGTCAGTTGTGTTCCAGATTTCGTCTTGCTTGCTTCAACTTATGGTATGTACTGTACTGTCATTCTAAATCCTGGCACGCGCCCAGGTCCAGCTGAGCTGACCGGTGTGGTTGGCGTAGGCCTAACAAATGCACGGTTTTGGTTTCTGTGCGGTTTCGAGGGGATCGGTAAAATGTAGCGAAATGCTGTCGATTATACATAATGTGGCGCAACACTCAATAAATATATTCAGGCAAGGAAATGATTCGTCTCCTTTTCTAGAGCTAGCTGCGTAAGACGCGAGAGCGATGAAAAGTGTTGCTCGTCCCGGCTTCGACCGCGTACGGCACCGGCGAAGAAAAACGTCACACTGGCACTGTCGTTTCTTCGTCTCGGCAGCAAGTATTGTATACTAGAACTTTATTTGATGAAAAAGAAACAACATAGGGGTGTCTAGCGCAACTTTATTGTTCAGGAACAAACACTAATTAAGATATCATTAACTAGAAAGGTACAAATACTCCTTCCGCCGTACATAGTACGGCGCAAGGACTTTTAGATTGTTTCCCGTGTTTCGATAACAATACCGCAGTGGACACACGTTAAAGATAATCGAATCGAACATACTTACATATGTGTGGTGTGTGCTACTGGTGCTACTATGACCGTAATTATGGGCACGAGATTTGTTCCTGCCGAACTGCACGTACGGCATCAATCTCTTGTGGGGGGGGGGGACTGCTGCGAACCTCGGACGAGCGCGGTCGACGTCTCTGGTAACCCCGGAGTATGAGAACTTGATCTTCACGTAAACATCGGCTCGCTCCGTCGACCCGCCGCTGCACTGGCTGCACGTCCGCTGAATCCCGCCGGGCTGGGGCGGCCACGCCCAGCCTGACGAGATCCACGGGGAACTTTTCATGTTTGCGTTTCGCTGGAAGGGCAGCCGCGGTTGTCACTGCCATGGCCCCGCCGACAACGCCGGAGGTCCCTGGTCCACAACCGGCTGTCGCCGAACCGCCCAAGCCACTCGGGCGATGAAAACATGCGCTTGTATGCTTGTATTTCGACGTGCACCAAGCATGCCTATTTTGGTCGTAATCCGGAACCGAAACCAATGTTCCCGCGATGCCTGGTTTCCATTCTCGACAAACATCCAAAATATTATAAACAAAGCGGAGCATTTTATTAATTACTATGATATTATATTACAACATTATTTTGTGCACTTTGTAGAATTTAGTGAATTTAGTATCACGAAAAGTTGAAACACTCATCAACGTGATCTGGCAACCATGGCAACGCTTTGAATATTTCCGAACTTTTCCGAATCGCTTGAGATTCGGCTACTTTTCCGAATATTTCCGAATCTTCAGATTTGGCTCCAGTCAACTTTCCTCGCCGGGGCCTGGACCTGGTGGTGTAGGGATGGGCGCGTCCTGGTCCGGATGGGGATGACCGATGACGGTGGTCGCCCGATGACAGCCCCCCGGGAAGTTGATACTAATAAAAAAAAGGACTAAAAGTTGTTCGATCCCGCTGAACACATTGCGACGTTGGTTGGCTTTACAGTGACCAGTGTGGCCACGTTTATTATGAAACAAAACAACTCAACAGTGAGTTAAAAATCCCAAAATTAAACCCCATACTTTTGTTCCCAGTCTCCCAAAATCGAATCGAAGCCAAATCTGCAGAATCCCTCTCGGGGATCCTTTTGTAGCCTCGTAGGGGCCTCCTTTCCCCTCAGGCTCCAACCAATCCCTTCAAATTTCACCACTCCCACGTGGTACACTGTTCTCCAATGGTCAACAAGCTGTCAGCCTAGCACTTCCAACGGCCAAATCCAAATTCTTTCTAGAATCAACCCCTGCATTTTACGCAGACGGGCTGGCGCCAACAGCTAAATTATTACAACGGGTAAAAAGCGACAATTTGATACTAAGTGGCAAAAACCTCTATGTACAGGCACATTCGGCTAAAAGCTACAAGCCTCTCCAAGCGCGGGCTGTCCCGCTCCCGGTCCGAGCAGGCTTCCGAAACCCGAGACGCTTCTTAACGACCGCGGGGGGAACCGCTCCCGCGTCGCGGCCGCTCTGGCCCCGCCGACACAAACATAGAAAGCTAAAAAAAACAATGCCGACGCAACTCTGGAAAGATAAACTTTCCTAACAAAAATCACCTTAACTAATAAGCAGGATTTTTACAAACTTAACAGCTCCGAATCTCGATTCGGATAAAGATTCGTCCCATCACTAAATCTATGTATCATTATTCGCTGCGGCTGGGCTAAGCATTCTAAGCAGGGCAGCGGTCTGACTGTCCTTTCATCACAACTGTTCTGTCGCTGAGCTATCAGCACTTCGTCCGAGAGATCAATTCGTTTTCAGGCAAGACGCACGAGCAAACCTTTTCCTCAACGCTCGCTGATGTTTTGGCTTTCAAATCGAAGTATCTTTATTCGCTGGGCTAAGCATTATAAAAGGAAAAGCGCGGTCCTAATCTCCTCATCTCTGCAACTTTTCTGTCGCTGTGCTACCGGCATGCTACCGTTTGACAGACGAATTTCTTTTTCATGCGAGATGCACGAACAAACCTTTTTCGGAACGCTAATTGCTGTCTTAGCTTTCAAATCAAATCGTTTTTACCTGCTGGATTAAGCACTGATCAACTGAAAAGGGGCAGCGCTCCGGCTACGCCTCTCGACTCGACGGTCTCAAAAGCAGCGCAGCCATCTCGTTTGTTTACGTGACGTCATGGAGCGCGAAGAAGTCACTCGCGCTACGAGAAATTTTCGGTGCACGAAGAGCGCGCTCGAGTGTCGGTCTCCGGTGGCACTCCTGTCCGTTTAGTGAAAGGAGCATCTAACTCTCGCGCTCCGGAGCACGGACTCAGCGCGCCCGGTGGTGGATTCTAATCTGCACTCCGAGTGCGAATAATTTTGGATTCTTATCCGCACTCCGAGTGCGGTTTGTGCTGGATTCTTATCCGCACTCCGAGTGCGGATTGCGTGCGGAGGCGCGGACGCTCGTTAGCACGAAGCTGTTGAGTCTGTTGGATCTTATTTACCTGCACTCCGCGTGTGGCGCGATTTTGTCGCGGGAAACTATGAACACAGTGGTGTAGATGTTCTCAATTTTGTGTTGTGAATGACATCGGCTTTTATGCAGCCTCGACGAGTCAGTGGGAATATTGGCGGTTCTAGTTTCAGAATTAGATTAATTTCAAGCAAATATTTTTGCTTTTATTGAAAGAAATAACTAGCCTTGGGTGGTGCACTTGAGAGTAAACGGTGCTCATGCCTCGGGGATTGGACGCAGGTGATCAATGTGTATGTATCTGTTTATGGCGGGGGGGGGTGGGACTTTTTTATTAATATTTTCACTGTGGCTAGCATTACGTCCAGTCGGAGCACTGAAACACGTATACCTAACCCCCCCGCCCTCCTCTCTCTCCCCCGTGAACCTGGGAAAGGCGGAGATTTGGACTTAACTTGGGTTACGTTGGACGTAACGCTAGACACTTCGTAATATTTTACCCACTCCAAAACTCGGGGGCATCCCACTCACATCAACCCCCCCCCCCCCCCCCCCCCCCGAAAAAAAAGGTTCTGGCGATAATTTTTTTTTCTAGGGTTAAATATTTTTATTGACGAAAGAAAAAAAACTAGAGCAGTGCACAATTTTTTTCCTGTATTGTCTTGTGCTTAGATGCGGTGGCATAGGAAAAGGGGGGGGGGGGGGCAGGAAAATCAGTCATTTCCAGTAAACAATATTATTTAAAAAAGACCCTTCCCTTTCCTATGCCACTGCCCTCATCATCTCAACACAAGGCAATACACGTCTTCTGAACACTTTTAACACTACTAGATGGGGGAATGCCTGAAAAGTCCCTGGCCATTTGTTACTGTAGCTTTTCTTTTTTTTTTTTTTTAAATGATTTGCGCGTTTGTGAGTAGACGACGATAGATGTGATGGCTGTTAAAAGTTGTGGGTTTCGGGCGCAGCGGCAGCGGAAGTTTGGGACATCTGTGTGTGTGTGTGCTTGAGGGGGGCGGCAATTGCGCCTTGAAAATTGTTTGCTCGCCGTCCGTTTCCACATTACTGACCCCACCAGCTAAGCACCACACAATGTTAATGCGCTAACTGTCGCAAAGCTTCCGTTTTTTTTTTTTGTTTTTTTTTTTGCAAATAATAATAATTTGTTTAACAGAAAGAAGAAAAAGAAAATACTGAAGGAAAAATAGGATTGCTTATTTCCTGCTTTCATGCCTTTTTACAGGTCCCCGGAGCGCGAGTACAGTTCAATCTTTACCCAAATGCGCCACTTAGCGCTAATCAATCTCGAAAAAAAAAGAGAAAAAGAAAGGTGAATGTTTTGCATTTGCAGTAATGTTTTGAGGTGAGCTAGTCGGTGGTGTATAAAAAAACACAATTAAAACAGCGCAAACGAACACAAGGACAATTAGAAGAAGGGACACAGATACAGCACTGACTCACGTCTTTTTATGTTGATGTGTTTTAAGAAGACGAAAAAGAGAGCAAGTCGTGAGTCAGCGCTGTGTCTCTGTGCCGTCTTCTACTTGTCTTTGTGCTCGTTTGCACTGTTTTAATTATATGTTTACGATTATGCATTTGTTTCAAATTGAACTAATTCCGAAACACAGGTCTTCCCCCAATTAAACACCGTGCAACTACTAATATTTCTGTGGAATCGGCGCTGCCAACATCAGTGATGTGATTGCTGCACCACTTGTGCCAAACTCTGCGCCAAGGGGCTAACTCTGCTACATCCTGCTACATTTCGCCAAAATATGCAGGGGTGGAAGCGCTGCGCCAATTGTGCCACCCTGCGCCAATTCACTTCCCGGCGCCAGCCTGCTCCAAAACGCCAATTTCAACTTTTTTTTTAGTGTTTTCTCTAAATTTAGTGGAAAACGGTTGGTCACGGGCCACCATGAGGTGGGTACTTTTGCTTAGGTGTCACTGCGGGTGACTCGTACCAACTCGACTGGGGCTCCGAACCATGTCTAACCTCAGGGCGATTCGTCGATTTTAGTTAATCGAGAGTGCGATGTCGTTTTTTACTACAAAGAGTTTATATACGAACACATCGGTTTGGTTTCGGGCATAGTTGGTTGGCGCGGTTGGAGCGCGCATGCAGTTGCCCGTGGTCCCGATTCGCCGTGATCGTGGAAGATGGTGCCTCGGCACCGGTGGGCTACCTTGGCAATTAACATGAGCAGAAGTAAGTGGTCTTTACTAGCTTTACCTGTTATTTGGTAGCCTACCATATTTGGACGCTTAGCCGTGAAGAATCGCGAGCACAGGCACATCCGTTCTCGAGCTCATTTGTCTTGTCAAAACGAAACCAAAACCATCATTGTGTGCGCGAATGTGCACGCTGTCGTGTGTTGTCTACCGCCGTCAAACCACTGGCGAAAACAATACCCGCGATCTTAAGCGAGTTGGTTAATTGGCAGTGCTACACACTTTTTTGCTTCTTTCGTTTAGCGTGGAGGAGTGGGGGTTACATCAGAAATGCCGTACAACACTCCCGCGCTGCCGATTCCTGTCAAGAACGCACCTTAACTTGCTATAGCCACTCTACTCGTATATGTTTCTGGTTTGGGGGGGGGGGGGGGGGGGGGGGGGTTGGGTAGGGTTGAGAGAAGTTGGTGGGCTTTTTGTCACGTAAGAAGGCAGCCTGCCCCGCAGGGATCAGTGCCTGATCAGCTACATCTCATTTTCAGTCTCGTTCAAACTGTGTGGGGGACAGTGAGCGGACTGCGTGTAGAAGACAGCGCCAGCAGGAAGAAGAAAAAGGGACGCTCGTGGTAGGTGCGCGAGGACGAGAGTTCGAAGGGCCGTGAGGAACGAAAGAGGCGGTGCTGAACGAGCCCAGGCAAGACCCGGACCACAGGGCAACCGTGGCCTTCTACAGAATCGACGGCACAATTTGAGTATTTATAAAGTGTTTGTCTATGATAGCGCTCCTTGTGTGACTTCCTCGGAGCGAGTAGAACTAGGCCTGATCGGGAATTGACAGGCGACCCACATAACTGCCCCAGTTATGTGGGTCACCTGTCAATTCCCGATCAGGCCTAGTTCTACTCGCTCCGAGGAAGTCACACAAGGAGCGCTATCATAGGCAAACACTTTATAAATACTCAAATTGTGCCGTCGATGCTGTAGAAGGCCACGGTTGCCCTGTGGTCCGGGTCTTGCCTGGGCTCGTTCAGCACCGCCTCTTTCGTTCCTCACGGCCCTTCGAACTCTCGTCCTCGCGCACCTACCACGAGCGTCCCTTTTTCTTCTTCCTGCTGGCGCGCCGTCTTCTACACGCAGTCCGCTCACTGTCCCCCACAACTGTCTTCTCTTAAAGCACATCTACTGAGTGCACAATAACTCATAAGCAAGGGTGAGGCAGTTAAGGACATGGACAAGGTGGGGAGTGGACACCTCCTGCTAAGAGATGTGAACTCTAAACTGCCCAAAGTACTCGAGCGCATAAAAGAAATTGACTCTGCTCTTCAAACTGTGAAAAAAAAGGTGAACTTCAGTTGTTTCTAAATTACACAGATTCAGCTTAGTCACAACCCTTTTTTTTTGAACATGGAGCCTGTGGGCTCTTCTAGTCAGTGTTTATGCTGCATATGTATTAGTGGCTGTGATATTTTTAAGACAATATATTTTTCCATCCAAAGTAATTAGATATAGCTTAGTATGTTAACTTGGGTGTAGGGATTACTGTATTTTATGAACAGGGATTAAGAACATTTGTATTTAATGAAAACAGGTCAGCAAGGACTGCTTTATTCTGAAACATGTTGTGGTACCTTAATTTTTTTTATGGAGACACGCAATGCACAGCATTTTATGGAGTACATAAGGTTGCGTTGCTCTTCTAGTCGATGCTTAAAGCTGCATATGTACGAGTGACTGTGGTAGTCTAAAGATATAAAATACACATTTTATTTTGCATCTGAATCCTTGTCAAATGTCAGTAGCCGTGTATTTTGTTACTAAACTTGATATAGCCCTATTGAAAAAGGCCAATATCAACTCGGCTTTTGGAAATATTGTATTCCAAAGAAGGTGATGGAAACCAATAAAAACTTATTGTTATCCGATTAACCCAATACGCACGATGGGAATTCATATCGGAGCACAATATCCAGATATAGTATGCGGTTATTGGTATACAACAGGATATTGGAGCACAATATCCCGATATAACTTGCGGTTATTGGTATACAACACGATATCGGAGCACAATACCCCGATATACCACACGGTTATTGGAATAGAATACGACATCGCGTGCATATTGGTGACCGACATGGACATACTGTACGGCCACACGATATACAAATATTGGTCGTCGATCATGGGACCAAAGGAGAATACAATATGATATCGCGTGCACATATCTCAGAACGCGGGTACCAAGTTACCAACATACATTACGTTGGCATATCCACACGGCAATACGCGAAAAATATATTGGGTGTGGATACACACATAACATAAACGTTCTGCGTTGCGAACACATTAACATTGATCGACAGTGCAAGTATGTACAGCTGTTAGTACGGCACACAGTACACACAGCCTCGCGCGCTTGAAACTAGACAACCACCAAACCATTCAGAATAACTAGCCGGAACACCCGCCGCGACCTACCTTTTAATGAGAAAGCCCAATAACGACGTGCTCATTGGAGTGATCGTTTTCCAACAAATGTTTATTGCAGTTGTAATGCAACAAAAGTTGATCGCCTAACGATAAACCCAACGTACCGGGATACAATTCGATGTTGCAACACACCATCGCAATACAACAAGAAATTATCGGTGTTGGGACACGACCACCACATCGAATACGATATCAATACGAAGTTACCGACGGTGAGAAATACAACATCATGACACGATATACTAGTTACCGGTGTTGGGACCGAAATCGAACGCTATACGTGACAATGTCGGTTCGCACGATAAAATAATGACGGTGAATAGGTTTGACAGGTCCCGTGCATGTAGTTGCTTCTTACGCACACATTTATCGATATTGACCCACCTTTCTGGGTAATCCTACGTGGTACACAAAATCCACGACGACATGCGAGCACATTTCACCCACCACTTTTCGTCGCCTGTTTCGCAAGATACACACACTGTCCAAAAAACGACGTGAAAAATACGTGCACTTGCGCCATCAAACGATACGTTACAGCCTCGTTTTTTGAGAAGACAGTTTCCATCGCCAACACGCGCGCGCGCGCAAGCAGTTTGGGCCTAAGTTTGGACTTCGAACTGTTCGAACTTCGAAGGGAGCGAGCCCGGCTGGCCCGGCGCGATGCCGGCGTCGCCGGCGTGCTGGCGAGCCGCCAAGACGAGCATGCGCAGTGCGCAGCGCGCAGCGGGCGGGCGTCGGTTGCGCCACTGTCACCACTATGTCTGTGTCAACGACTGTGTGTTGCGCGACCCGGCCAGCCTGGCCAGCCGGCGTGATTGGCGTTCGGCGCACTCGATGTCGTTCGATGTCGCTCGATGTCGTGGGCATCGAGCGAAACCTACACACTTTCAATTGCTTCGAAAGGTACGTATACACGACTCTATTACTTGCAGCATTGAGTGCTTTGGCGTACGCGGATCAAAGTAAACACCGAAGGACAGAAAGGATACGTGAGGTTTTTAAATCGAGGCCTTTTTGAACGCCTGTGTCCCCTGTTGAAAGCACCTAGCTGTGCTCTGTTGCAGGCGTCATTTCGACTGCGTGTGCTCCAATGTAACGTCAGTCACTGTTCACACTCGGCTAGCTTTGCCAGTTTGTTATCTCATGTACGAAATAGACATAGAAACCAGCGCCGCGTCTCTTTCGGATACTCAGCCTCCAGCCCCCTTCCTTCCGGCGTGCTTTCTGCCGCGCCCGTTCGGCTCATTGGATTCGCGGGCGCGTCAGGCTCGTTCGAAGAGGCGTCTGAAGCTGACGAGTCGCCGAAGTGTACCGGAGCTTCTCTTTAGGAAAGCCGCAATCGACGCTCGGCGGCTCGGCTCTGAGCTCGTACTTTTCTCCTCCCGGGTATACCATGAGTGCCGATGAACGAATTTGAAAAAGCGCTAGCGAGTGACTTTGTGACGCCGCCCAACTGTCCTTCTATCAACGGCGCAGAGCAAATGATGTACAGAAAAAAAAAAAAAAAGACGCGTTTTTTATATTTTGTTGGCCATGTTTCACCTCAACACAGAGTGAATCGCGGCTGTACGTCGGTTGACTCATTATTGTGCCTAGATTGTAACGGAACCTTTTTGGTGTGATCTTATTCTGATATCGTTATATCTCGCCTTTTTATCTTGGCTGCAC